CCATAGGAACCACACCTGGTCCATAGGAACCACACCTGGACCAGTCAATCTGTCCCTCTTTCTCATATTTTAGGAGTTTATTGATTTTACTTTTGTTGTAAATTAACATTTTTATAGATAAACGAAATCTGAGATTTTCTTACATTTCTGTTTTAAACATAAATAAAACAATTGAATATTTTTTTTGTTTCTCTGAATAAACAAATTCGAAATAATTTGAACATTAAGTTAATAATTTAATTTCCTGTCAAAGTAGAAACAATCTACACTACTCCAGGTATTTTTCTTCAGTATTTTGTATATTTTCACACATTCCAACAACAATCCTGAAATAAACGTCCATCTTTACTAAGACGTCCACACAAACAATATAATTAAAAACTGAAAACGTTTTGGTTTTAAGGGCACAAAATAGTGAGCATGTGCAAAGTAAACTAAAGGTGCAAACGCACCAATAAATAATTCAGTTTATAGTGTAGACTGGGCCTTGGTTTGGACCGGTCCCACGTGTTTTACACTCAGGATGAAGGAAGTTGGTGGTTCTGTTTGAAAAAGATCCAAACAGACTGGTTCTGTTCCCAAACTAAAAACCAGATGAAAAACAGAAACTGGAACCAACATTAGAAGATGTCCCGTACGGCTCAACCAGCTGTTATAAATCTACATTAAATAAACTGAGTTCAGAGATAAAACTCATTTATAATCAGGGTTTAAACTGTGGAGTTTAATCTAACGGTGGTTTTATGTTAACAAAGACTGGGGATGATTGAAGCTAAAATATTCATGAATAAATCAGCTCTTTAGCTCCAAACAGGCGAGTTGAACCAGAACCTCCCGGTGTCGAGGGAATAAAAACCCATCAGCAGAGAAAACGTGACTTTTCTTTTMAAAACAAAACCAGTTCAGAAACCGTCTGATGAACCAGACGAGCCAGTTTTCTGCTGCTTCCTGTTCCGACCGTCCCTGTTAGCTAGCGGCGCGTTATCTTAGCAGACAGTTAGCAGCCGCTGCACTCCGGCGAGGAGGCGGAGCGTCAGCCGAAGGTGGAGCTCGGAGGTTTGCGTAGCCACTGGTAGAACGGCCGCCGGTGGAGGCGGTGCCAGCGCACGTTGCCTTCAACGATCTCCAGCGCTCGCGGCAGCGCAGGCCCCGCCCCAACGCCGCTGGACTCGATGAACTCCTTTAGCTGGATAAATGCAAACGGGGGGGATGATGGAGGTGGGGGATGGTGGGAGTCAAAACAGAAACACAATAAATGGACCTCCAGTTCTGTGAAAGTCATGCTTTTTACAAAGAAAATTTAAATTAAAATTATTTTCCACAAATGTTTGAGAAAGCGCGCAATTTTTTTTWAAATTACAATCATGACTTCATGATGAAACATTTATGGTGTTTGTAATTTATTATGTAGATATTTGTAATTTATRATTTTCAACAGGTATAATATGAAAGTAGCCAAGGTAATCCATCTCTATAAGAATGGTGAGAAATGCATGTTCAATAATTACAGACCAATATCCTTGTTACCAGTTTTCAAAGATTTTAGAGAAGTTAATTGTGAATAAATTAGATCAATTCATTGACACACACAATATTTTAAGTAGCAGTCAGTGTGGGTTTAGAGCAAATAATTCCACATCAATGGCACTCTTGGACTTAGAGGAAATAACAGCTGTTGATCAAAAACAACACTAGTGTTTATGTTGACATGAAGAAAGCTCCTGACACCACTGACCTCAGTATCTTAGAGGACCAGCACTACAGTGGGTATCTAGTTATTTAAAGGATAGGAAACAGTTTGTACAAATAAATGATACAAGATCTGAATTAAGTAGTATTACATGTGGAGTTCCTCAGGGTTCTGTACTCGGACCAAAGTTATTTATGTTAGATGTGAACGACTTGGTAAATGTGTCAGGGTTGTTTAAATGTGTTTTAT